CTCTTTGGTCTCACTCCTTCCACTCGTTCTCTCTCTCTTTCTCTTCGCTTTCCCCTCCCGCTTGCCCCTCTCCTTTCCACTATCCTTTTTTATTCTTCTTTTTTTTCTTTTAAAACCATTTTCTGATTAACCAATGCAGCTGCTTGCGTGAGATATCACACAGTCTTGCAACTAGCCAACAATCCAGACGAAACATACGTGCTGGCTGCCTCACTTAATTGGTGTGGCATCGAAGCCTACGTCGGTACGTACCCTTTCCCGTCCCTAACGCCTCAGGCCTAGGACTGAATATTATACCTATAGCCATATTCTGCGGCTCCACTCCAGCATTATATGTCTTTGTGAAGCGCTACCTCCCACAAATGCTGGGGCCGTCCTACGCGCATAATCGAACCTACTCAGGACAGAGCAATGCGAAGAGATTCAGCGCGCCATTCCGCGCAGTCTCCCGCCAGCGCATGAGCGAAAGCCGGCTAGGAGAGAGCCAAGATGCATTACATGATGGCGATGGCATTATGCTTAAGACAGACATCCACTGGGAGGTCACTGATATAGATGCTGAAGGTCGACTGGACCCGCACCATGTAAATATCTGAAGATTTGATCACTATAACTAGAGCAGCAGATGAAATCCAAGTGAGGAACTTGCGACTGTTGTAGATGCGGCACGTTTGTTAGAAAATGTGACAATCGCAGGCTCAAAGTGGAAAGATTTCAGACCCACCGGACTAGTGAAATCCGTCACCGTCTCTTCGTCGTCTGCATCGCTACGGTTCACTGCATATTCTTTCTTCATGTGCTTCTCCCCCCTCCTCTTGGCAGGGACTCCTCGAGTCGGTTAGAGCCGCCTGTCACTGCACTCCGCCGTCTGTCCCACGGAACGTTGTTCCATCGTCTTTCCCAATTACTATACCTTTTTCCGACCTCTAAACAATTACCTGCAATCACCAAATACATCTCTATCTAACCGCATGCATCCGCAATGCATCCGACTCTTCCGCCGAAAATAGGAAAATAGAAACCGAAGCCTGATATCATAATCAAATCTAGCCCAATTCTCCCGTTACCTGGCATCCCCGCCATCACCATGAATTCCTGTTAGTCAATCCACTCCCAGACCTCCCTCTCATCCCGAGTTATTAGCTTCGGTGGGTCATGAAAAGTATTCCGGTTTTTAACAAGCCATCAGTCTTCTATTCCACCAAGCACGCCAAGACATCATACTACCACATCCCCTCCACCCTCAACTTAGAAGACGTCCAACAAATCTTCCACAACCACTCTACCTTGGCACATATATTCTGGCCCCAATTAGTAAACGATCCAGAAAACCTTCTTTTCGAAAACCAAATCGGTCCTAGTACCACGGAAATCCAAATCCGCCCAGCATCAGGTTCCGGTCCCGGCCCTTCCGGGACAAAATGCAAAGCTAGCATAACTTCTCACCACGAGGCCAGAGAGATCGTCGTCGCCGAGGAAATGCCTCTTGGGCTACGGATGACGCTGGTTTATAGGGTTTCTGACGAGCCTCCGCAGGGTATCTCGGCAGAAGAGGGTGATGGCCTGCTTGCGTTGGCTGACTCGCAGCCTTCTACGTCGCTCTCGGGCACTGGGTCACGAATAGGGATGTATCTGCAGGTGGAGAGATCAGTAATTGCACCGAGACCTCTGTCGATGCTGGTCAAGACGACAGACGGGCCGATCGTCAAGACGAAGAATCTGTTGTTCGTTTTAGATGAGTTAGGAAACGGGAAGGAGTTGGATGCTGCGTTGGATGCTCTGAATGAACTGAGAGGTTCGGATGATGAAGGGGACGAGGTGTTGGAGAAGTATAAGGCGGATTGAGATGCATACAGCCACATACTCTTAGAACTTTGGACTAGCCGCTACTATAATCAGACCTTAGTAGAATCAATCATTGTTTTCCTGCTGTGCCTGCTACAAACTCCTATTAGGGGTCGGTGAGCTCATAGAGCCACTTTATTAACTGTAAAATCAGATATCCCGATGTGTGCATCTGCACCAACCCCGTCCCTCAATCAGAGCCAGGGCTTTTCGCATTCAACACAACCCCTTTCCCATCCCATGCAAGGTGAAGAAAGATAGTGATAGAGGTAGTAAAGACCAATACATGAATACCAACATGAACTGGCAAAGCAGCATCATCAGGCAGGGATAAGAATGAAGCCCTATCACCTCTTTCTAAAGATTCACCGTACCTGAATAGGTATATAAATACTGCTATTTTTCTTCAAAGCTTCTTCTTCTTTTCTTCTAATACCCTGATCTTCCTGGCCTTGCTACATCTATAACACAAACAACTAAGCATCTTGATAATATCAGGAATATGATCATACTCAAAATACTGAACATGTATATACTTTATTAGTTTTATAGCCTCAAGAGAACTACTATAATCATATAATTTTTGACAGGAAGTTTAAGATAGATCCTGTGTTGCTTATTTTAATACATTCTTTAAATCACATATCTTTCTACCAGAGTGGAACATGTTCCAAAGCTATAAAATATATTAAGATCTACAAGCTTAATAAAGACACAAGCGCCGGTCACTGTATTAATATTATTTACTAATAATACTATATATCATGAACTAGAAGACTGGTAGAGGTCCATATCTGTTATCCTAAATCAGACAAATAATTCTCATAGACTATCCCTTCAGAGATATAGAAGACAAACAGTCCTACAAATAGGAATACAAGACATGTCTTCTTATAAAAGGGGCTTAATCCTATCAAAGTAGAAGTCACCTACATTCTCCCCATTGTCTCTGTGTAAGAAAGCTGGACATTCCAAAACCCAGTTATCTTTGAAAACACTGGAGATATTTCAGGTCATGCAGAACAATCCGTCCTAGAACATTCAAGTGGTCAAGCGAAGTAAGAGACACACCTTGTGAATAGTGAACTTCCAGAGGACAATATCAGCCCACATGCAGAGCTGAGCAAAGAAGACAAGAACATTGCTACTATCAACTTTCTCAGTGAACTCTGGGACATTGTGGCACATGACAACCAGTGGAGAGACGAAGAACTGAGAAAGTCTCTATGTAATATTTTTCTAACTTAAATCAGAAGAAACATGATAACAGTAATAGCTTATGCTATTTCCCACTGAGAATACCATAATGGTGAAAGGCGAAGAATGGGAGGTATATGTCGCAAGCCACGCTATCGGCACTGGGCCATGGTGGTCCAACGATATTCCCATTTTACTGGTCCCGGTATACACGGTAACATGCGCCCGTTCAATGATCCAGATGCAATCGTAAGTTTTCTGATTTTAACTATTCACCAGCAGCCGTGTACGCCCGATTGTTGAGACCCCTCCCTGGACAGAGGACGAGCGGTTGCTCTGCAGCCGGGAGTTTGTCACCAAGCACATCCTTAGTAAGGAGGTAGTACATGACACGAATATCATTTCTTATCGCTTGACGAAAATAGTACTGCAGCGGCTTATGATCCGCCGAACGCAGGGCTCTGCGCTGCCGATTGGGTCCACTAATAAGAGATCGGAGCTGATATCCCCCCCCCGCCTTTATACTAATCCATGAATAGTCACGCCTGTTGATTTCATGGTCTCCGTTTGCACATCTAACGATTAAAGCAAGCCTGCCTATCATTTTGGTAGCAGACGGGATGGTCTCATCTAGGCCTTCTGTCTCTGGCTTCTACTATGCACGAAATATCAGATAGTGGAAAATATAACCCTTGAGTGATGTCACTGATCAGGCAACGCGCAAAGACACCCATTGTGGAATTTCACTGACTCCGAGACTGACCATACATACGATATCCACCGTTTCTGATACTAGCAGCAACCGAAATATACTGCACATCTAATTGGGCTACAAGCTCAGAAGTAATGCGCCCAATTACCCCCTGTATCTCATCTTCCCGTCTTCAATCGCAATGTCATGGGTGACGCAAGCTGGAGTTGCTGCTACAAGTCATCGTTTCTAAGAAAGAGAACACCAAGAATGCCGACCACCGAAATACTGATGTAACAAGGAAAATGATCCAACACATGTTAAAGATTCGCCATGAAGCTACAATGCCTTCAGAATCACCCAACACCTTAGAGAGAAGGGTAGCACTGTATATCTGCTTCAGCGGTAGAAGATGCCGGTGATACTACAGCGAGACAACGCAAGAGGGCCAAGAGAGGAGTAGATATCTCGAAAATGCTGGACAACCGCGCTTTCGAGTCAAGCGCATATCAGATCGCAGAGAATCTCCAGTGGTCGTTCGATACCAGAACGGATGCGAAATGATATTCTCATCCAACCAATAAGGGAGGACTATGAGAGGATTGCAATGCATGAAAAGTAATTAAATATCCAGAAGTATCAATTCAATGATCATGAGGAGGCCTGCGTGAACCTGTGTATTATTAATCAGGCGAACCCCCGAATGAAGGGCATGCAGCGCGGGCAAGAGCTAAAATTCTGGCAGCTGGTCTGTATAAATCATGTGGCCGAAATTATGAGACTCGGTTTGCTAGCTGGAGCCATCATTGCTGATGTTGTAGGCGTCGGCATGACTTGGCAGGCCATCGCATTCCTTTTATATGATCATTGAACAGGAAATATCCCCAATCTTCTTCCTTGAACCGACTCCCTTGGTTGGGAAGAGGGGCTAATGATAAATTCATAACTCGATCTCGGCTATGGAAATGACATAGTATACTTACTAGTTACTATGTCATTATGGCTTACCGTCGGAACTTGCACGGCCACTAGGGGCTTTTGGCAGATACTGATGAACCGCTACCATTTCAATTTCACAAGGTTGTCGCCGGGGTCAAGGTTCCGAAAGGCTGTAACACAATGAAGTAATGCATCGTGTCAAGTCTAATAAATGCCTATAGTCTGTCCCGCAGATAACATGTTTCAGAGACTGAGTTTCCATCGCGAAAAGCAAGGTCATACTTCGAAATCCTTTCTGACGATGCCTTGGAATAAATCTAAAGCAACAATGCGTTCAAAGTGGTTCTCCCAGGAGGAGATTGGTCCAGGGTCAAAGATAAAGCTAAATAACGAATGGGTCGTCCAGGAGGCTATCAGCGAGCACACCTTCCAACACGACCACGATGACTACCTCGCTAGGGTTGGGCCCGCTTGGACAGCCATACGCCTTCTTGTTGAGAAGAAAGGTTCGCGCACCAAGGCGTATATGCGCATCTATAAGCAGATAATGAACAGGGGCACGGAAGCCGAGTCGGCCAGGATGCGAGCTCGGCAAGCTAATACGTCGTGGTGTCCCGTTGAGCTAAAGGTGTACAGGTCACTTCCGAAGAAGAGGCCTCTCATTGTACCGCGTCTCTTAGAAGAAAGAGTGACCAAGCAAGACGAAAGTGGTTCCGTGCCAGGAGGCTTCCTGATGTACATTGTGTATGAGATTGTGCCCGGGGTGCAGCTCGGGGACTACCGGGGAGCTAACGTCTTCTGGGCCTTGGATCGACCTGAGAGGGATCTTATCCGGGAGAGATTCAAAGAGGGGCGCATGAAGCTCTATCCGTGGGGCTTCGACCCGTATCCTGGGAAGGCTCGAAATCTTGTCTGGCACGCGCCCACGTCCACCTTGTAAGTCAACTGGAAAACCTCGTACTCCATTTACTATCTCACATGCTGACCAGTTTAACTATGGTTCAAGTACTTCGTTGGGTGGTTCTTGGCCTACGAAGGCATCGAGAACAAGAACTGGACGCCGAAGTTCTGGCAGGGGTGGGACCTGGTCCGTCCTCCTAAGGGGTGCGATGGTAGGGGGACTCCGGATGAAACTTGGGTTTGGTAGCTTCTAGAAAGTCGCGTATCTGGCATGGTAGATTTTATTCAATGCAGACTGGCTTTCGCGGTTATATTTGCCCCTTTGTGCTTCGTAGTGGTCAATCCTTAGAACCCATCGTTTCCAATACCGCCGTAATAATATTCTAATTATTTGCTAAATTATAACTCGTCAAGAGGCGGATGGAAGGGACAAGTGGGTATATAGGTAAGTATTTGCTTCGCTACTACTATATATTCCACGCTTATACAAAACCCAGGCGTCACATATACATTGTGTAGACGGAAATTTCATATCCCGCCATCTAGGTCTATGCCCATACCACAATACTGCCAAGCCCTTGCTTTTATGCCTCATTCCCAGCGGTTCTGCATTTTCAGATCAATTAGAACGAGGAGAGTAGGCTAGGGAGAGAAGATAGTTCAAGGGGGACAGAAATTAGCTTGATACGAGGATTCTTCTTGCATTTCTTCTCAAAACCTACTCAAAGCCAAAAAGGCACACTGGCCTAACTTTATGCAGGCGGTTGAACAGCAATATCTCATGCCAATGGATAACGTCTGTCGTCAACCTCCAGGAACCACTGTCGGTACTCCACCATAGCCTGTCCTATGAGCTGGTTAAATCAACCCTGGACTCCATGCTCATCTCCCACATAAACCTTTTCGCATCCGACGCAACCCCGGCCCTGTTCACCATTCTTACATGGATGTAGACAACTTAGCGTGTCCTTCCGGCTGCGCGCCCACTATCGGTTGAGATGCTAACTTAGGTGTTATACCTCAGATTACGAGCGACACAACGTGACGTACTATCTCTGGGGACGGATATTTGTGTATACATATATATATCACCTTTTAATAGTATTACACAAGGTTTGTAGTCATATCTCAGTCCTGTTTAACTAATATAGGACAGCCTGGGACGAATAAGAAAAATAAAATAAATGGGAAGTATCCTAGGATAGTATGCTTTATATATACAGACCCTGTATCATGCTACCAAGCTGATAACAAGCCTGACCCCCGGGGTACTCTGAGCCAATATGGCTTCACAAAAACCCTCGAGAGATCTTACCGTAAGTCAGTCAGCATGGCATGAGACTTCACGCCGGAAGTCAAAAACCTGAACAACGTCTTTCGTCACTGTCCAGGAGCCACTGTCGATATACACTCATAGCACGGGCTATGAGCAGGGTTGATGTGTGTGACGAGCATGGAGTCCAGGGTTGGTTTCTTGTCAGTACAGCTTACATGCGAGAAAGTTCCGGTAATTATGATCCAGGTTGCTGCTGCATCTCTCGTTGCGGCTGGGGAGCAAAGGCCTTCTGGGTCAAGCCATGATACTCTGGTCTTGGATTAGACTCATGCATGTCTCAAAAAGCAGTTCTTGTTGCTTCGTACTCTCTGTCCCGAACAACAGAAGCAAGACCTCATGGTCAATGCTCAGTTTGGCATCTTGTCCTGCTTCCCTTGATCACCCAGGCGCGAAATCTGCTACAATAAATAGCATCCCAGCGGTCCGACATGCTACATATCGGGTAGTCCCAGTGATTGACTGGGTCTTTCTCTTCAGCAGGTGCTAATGATACGAAATATACTACATATGTCAGGGAAGATAAGTGGCCTGATGAAGGTATTGTTAATGCAGCTTTTATCGAGCGTCTCGATGCACTGGCTTCTTTCTTCGGATGAAAGTTATATGTAAATACATACTCACGAAGATAGAGATCTTCGGAACTGGCTGAACAAAGAACATTCTCTTTGCTAACCTTGGACGCACGGTCATCACTCTTCAACCACAGATTACAATATGAGGGTTATAAATATGGGATGCAGCGTTGTCCGTCGATTTCCAGTGGTGTATGGGTGTCCTGCCCAGAGACAAGCAATTGCAAATCGTAAATAGGCCCGTATGATGCAATGGCTCTAATGGTTCCAAAAAGGGCAAATCATAGCATCGGTGTCGGCTTCATCACTTGATGATAGCAACGAAGAAGAATACCAATTAATCTTAATCACTAATGTTGTCTATAGCATTCGTGGCGTGAACTCACTGAAGCATAAAATTAGCTATGTCAAAATTAACGCAACCCACTTTATTCAATCATGCCAACGTCAATACAAGAAGATACCTTACAAGAATGTATAGTGGTAAAGATTAGCGCATTGTAATTGTTCACTCGTCAGTAAGTCTATGTGCTATGTATGACCTCTGTGCGCATAATAAGCCAGTCATTACTACATCATCTGCAAGTGTACTAGCTTTTAAATATCTGCTGTGTGACATCTTTCTAGCTTTTCCAGTTTATTTCTGCTGATCTCTCATCACTACCATCATCCTCATCACAATTACCACTCATCGCTCATCACCCTCACCATCCAAAATGCGATTCTGGTCCTGGCTTCGGGGTGAGCCCAGATGCGAATACTACTACAAAAAACGTCTTGAGGAGATTCAATACCATATTGGCTATGACACCCCAAGAGACCAAATAAAGAAATGGATAAACGAGTACAATGAAGAGGAAACACTGGGGTTTGCCATTCTACAGCGCCAGCGTCGTCTAGAGAATGAGAAACAGATGGCGGGGGCGCGACAAGAGCAACAGCAATTCCGGCGACGACGGTGCAAGCAGTGCCAGTATCAGAAGGAGATGTGCAGTGCCTGCCATGAAGCGATGCAGACAGCAGATGTCCCGCCGCCCTACTTGAGCCGATGCCCAGAGGATCTCGAACTAAATCTGGCCAAGCTGCGCGAAGAGCTTTGGAAGAGTAGGGCTCGCTTGGAGGCAATAAGCCAAAAGCTCACGGATAGTAGGAGTTGGTGGGCCTTATATGCTATGGTTCCACGCTGGCGTCGAAACGACGCTGGCCGGACGTTCAAGTGGGTTGAAGGCCGGATGAGTTGTGCTGATCGGGGAGGTTGCTGTGGCCGTACCTGTGGATGCTGCGAGGAGGTTCTGTTGGAATATCAACGGCCAAAGTGGAGGGACTCGGGAAAGGTACGCATCAAGGTGCATAGTCATTGCACGGCAGAGTGTGCTTGCTGTATTCAATTCCGGGGGTTCTATACTCCCCACCCTGCTCTCCCTGCTATATGTTCCTAGGTATTTGAGTGAATCCAATACAACTCACATACATATGCCTGACCGAGCCTGCCGTGTATATGTTAGCTATATAGGTACTTCACCGTCTGGAGCAAAGAATATGTATGGCTCAGAACGCCGTCGAGTTTCTCAACTTCGCTGTAGACACATGTAAACCACGAAGAGCGTACGCTACGACGTCGGAAGGTCGTCGTCATAGCTGATGGCAACTAAAAAGCAAAGCAAAGTAAATCGCAGTCTTACAAAGGTAAGTATAAAAGAGTGGCGTATCATAACATACTTTTCCCTTCGGTTTTGCGTACCTTCCCTGCTGACTCTGTGTCGCTAGGTTGGCAGGTACTTGGGTATAGCATGGGTGCTTTCCATTTACAGACCGTACCTTCCTCAAATATCAATGACTTGCTCGACGGCAGCCAAAACATCTTCTTAGACTTCGAATCCCCTCTCTTTTCTTCTCTTCTCTCTTCTTCTTCTCGAAATCAGTCGCTCGTTTGACAACGCTCGTTACACACAGCATTAAGTCACTCTTTGCGATATCACTCTTATCCACTCGTTCTTTACCCCACACTCACTTTTATATAGCTTTTTGTCTTTCTTTTTATAGATAGTTATTATGGCTGAGGCGGTAGATGCCGACGCCACACTTTCGTTTTGGCAGAAGCTAGACCCCAGCCACGCTAGGTGGCTGTTCCTCGCGTTCATCGTGGTCGTGATTTGCCACGTCGTTTCCGGTGCGGTGAGGCTCTATTTAGAGCTATTGATCAAGCGCCACCACATCGAGAAGCTAAGTGCAATGGCCCCATCACGGTGGCGTGACGTGGAAATGGGTAGGAATGAGGAAGAGGGGGATGGGAGGGAGAGGAGGGGCGGAGGAGGGGGCGGAGGAGGAAGTGGAGGAGGAAGCGGAGGGGGAAGCGGAGGGGGAAGCGGAGGAGGAAGTTGAAGGGGGGAAGGGGAGGAAGAGGAGGATAGGGGAGAGAAGAGGGGGTTTTGGTTGGGTTTACGAGGTGGGTGTGGCGGGAGGGTGGGAGGGTCCTCTCTCTATAGAACCATGCTGGCCGTTTGTCTAGGACTGACCGTTTCACAATGATCCGCATCGACCTGACGAGTTTGCGCCGATGAAGCTCGGCGTATACACCATGATCAAACTGTGAGGTGAAAGGGGCCCTTTCTTTCTGATATATACTAACTGTTGCTATAGGACGTTTTAAGTCTTTAGATATCGCCTTGACGAATACGACACGACGAGTTTTATAGACGCTCAGGGGGACGTCGGACGGTGGAGAGAGGGAAGAGAGCGAGTTGAGTGAGTTGAGTGAGTTGAGTGAGTAGAGTGAGTTGAGTGAGTTGAGTGAGTTGAGTGAGTTGAGTGAGTAGAGAAATCCCCCAATATTAACTTCATACTGAATTCGCCTTGCAATAGCAACCTCCGAAAGCGTGACTAAGTGTCATTGTCTTTGTGGGCTCAGGATGATGGCTTAAAGAGGAGGGATCATGGTTGGGCGGAAGAAGGAAAGTGATAAGGGGAGGTGGATTGATGCGAAAGCGCATGTGAGATGGAAGGAAATATGAAGTGAGATGGAGAGGGGGATGAGGACGATGGAAGAGAAGAAAGTGGCAAAGACCTGGGAAGGCAGGGTCAACATTGTGTTTGGTGGTAATTGGACGTTTTGTATGTACATGCATCCATCCTCTCTGGAGCACAGAATACCTGCACAACATGGCCACCAGTAAAGGCCAGGTGGATTTTAATAAGACGGAATTACAATGTACTACGCATCGGCATAGATTTGAAGGCGCAACCGCCAACCTCGACCAATAAATTCTACCCTCTAGATTCTATCCTCTAGGTGCGACAATTTTTGCTGCTCTCTCTGTTTTCGTTAGTGCTCTTCTACTCCTTTCCCACATATCAACTTCATCCCCATAATCAACAACAGATAGGTACAAAACTACATATTCAGAGGCTCTTCTTAGTCCTGGTCCGTCATATCAAGGCTCCCTCGCCATAGATCTCGAGAGCCGCATGGACATCTCCCTCGATTGATTGAAGGCCTATGATCCTTGTTGCATCCGCTAGTGCTAAAGCCATTGCAAGTGACTGCTGTAACAACCATGCTTAAAGGAAGTTTCATGAGTAACAGGCCCAAGCCGACGACCGCGGACATGAGATAGAAGACTGTGGATCTCATACATTTGTAATAGAATGAAATTGCTTCTCTGGACTGTGATGTTCGCCCATGAGAAAGATACACAAGCCCACAAGCTCACAACTAGCTGACACACGTGGTCTGCTCGTCAGGAGGGATTGTTTACTGTACTTTCTATATTTGGGAGGTATGTATGAGGGGTTTTTAAAGTTGATACTATCATACAAAGGGGCATCATGTTTGGGATTATCATGGAGTATGATAGTACTACTAGATGGCTGGTAGGCTAGGCTTACTTACTTACCTAATATATGATATTGACGTGAAAGCACTGTGCATAAGATCTCAGCCCTGTGAAAGATATTACTAGTCATGTTATGCATTAAGTTATGAGAAATGCATATTCTCGTTTCAGACATGGAGTATCGACTTACAGTAGGGAAGACGTTGAGTCTCATGTATGTTATTCAAATATCATCAATTATTTACAATTATATCTTTATATCTTCCGGCTCGGGTGGATCATATATAGTTACTTCGTACTTTGGGAAAAAGATACATCATATGTCAATTGCCTAGCTTGTCCGGAGCATTCAATTCATTAGTAACAGTATTTCTATAGGAATAAGGCTGCATATAATTGATTGACAGGTGATGTATTGTATGGCTATTATGCATAAGGCTAATTAATTGCATGGTCTAGATACATGTCACCGAAACCAAATGCCAAGGCGCTGACTGGAAGAACAGACAGGTCTAATATGGATAAGTATGAGAAGATTGTATTGTAGATATATGTCAGGAATGTGAGGGTGAGCGATGCTACACAGCAACACCGGATCTCTCTCTAAATCTTGAAACAAGATAGTAATTGTAAAAGAATAATGTCGTATTGTCACCGAAAATCGTAACAAATATGTGTAAATAAAGCCATCCAGGGCCAAGAAGTATCTGTCCTATCTATATCATCAATAGGTTCCTACCGGCGGGACAACGTTCACGGGTTTGCGCTTCGAGAAGAGGTTCTTCAGTCTGCGGAAGACTGTTTTCTCATTGGTGGGCACGTCCTCGGTTCCTCGAGATCTGAGCTTCCGGCTTGTTGCCTTGCTCATTGTTGACCAGGAGGTTTTCAGTCTTGAGGTATTAGACCCGGGGCGAAGATTGGAAACGTTGTCCGTTGACTCAGTGTAGACTGGGAGGTGTGGCGTGCTGGCATTAGCAATGGTGCCCGTTCTCATCTTGGCCATCACCGCCTGCTGGATGTTCATGTCGCGTTCGGTTTCTTCTGCAGCGCTGAGGACGTGCGCTAGGCCGCTGCTGTCGATGATGATCCCGGGGTGTTGCTCGCTTGCTTCAACGGTGGAAGAGCCCAGGTCCAGCGGATCGGTGTACTCTGGAGGATGGACGGTTGGGGCTTCCGAATCAGCGACTCCACCGTGGCTGTTCGATGATGGTTCCACAGGCTTTCCGAGACCTGGTGTAATATTGCTGGGGACTGAGTGGGGTGAATGGAAGCTAGGAACCCCGGTGGACATGAGTGTAGTCTCGGGGTCCAGAAAGACTTCAACGTCATCTTCGCTAACAGCGTCCACATGATTACCATCCTCATTCGGATGAGGTCCGGACTCAGAGCCGTCGAGGAAGGCCTTGACACTCTGACTCCTATCCCTACCCTCCTTTCCCGAGCCCATTGCTTGGCTACCATAGCCTGCTCGGCTAGGCGGGGCACTCGAGGACTGCGTTCCATCGCTAGCGAGGGCTGAGTGGGAGGATGTCGCTCGTCCCGATTCGAGACTATCGCACTTGAGGTGTTGGCTGGTCTGGGAACGGAGAACCCTCATAGCCTGCATACTGGACTGCTGGGTCAAGGCGACCCCGGAATCGTATTTGTCCTTCAGGGCTGCCACATCGGCTCCCACTTTTGGAAACACATACATGGAGTCAATCTGAGGCGCCGTGGACGGTTCGTGCATCGTCGTATTGGTTGTGACCGCGCGAGAGCGCTTGCTAGGCCCCGACGGCTGGCCTTTCGGGTTCCTGGATACGAGTAATGAACAGGCATTTCTAAGCTGTGCTTCTAGGTCGGTAGGGATTTTCGGTCGGTCGATTAACGGCGATGATGGCTGATAGGTGCCAGGGCTATCAACAAATTCCAAGTCACGGGTGGGTTGGTTATGGGCAAGCTGGTTTTGCTGGGTTATCAAAGTTGGTTTCTAGCTTCACATTAGGCGGCGGCCGTGAGGCAATCTGAGGTAATACACACCTGTGACCCGAACAGAAAAGAAAAGGAGGTGCGTCGCTTCGTGCTGAACTCCATCGTGGCTGATGTTTGCAATTATGACGAAACAAGAGGCGTTCGGTCCGGAAAGGGATCAGCTGGATAGACTGCAGGGAAGACTGTGGCGACGCCAGCCAATGTAGGAGAACGCAATGGTGCGTCGACAATCGACTCGTGATATGGAGGGCAGCGATACAAAGGAAACAAATCCGGTCGCTGGGCTACCAGTCCCAGGGAAACGGACCAAAATCGGCGATACTCAAGATCAGCCCAGATCAATTCCTCAGCCAAAGAATAGCTCGAAGAGGCAGGTGCTCTTCAGGAACTTCTGGGATGGAATGTGGGGAGCGATTCGAGGAATGCTGTCGAGATCAAGGAAAGGAGGGGTGAGGACCGATTTGAAGGTCAGGGGAAGAAAAGCCACCGGAAATTATGAGAGACGAGAGGTAACAAGGTGACTCAGGAGCAATGGACCAGTCCATCTGCTAGGTACACCACCTCCAATATTCAATCGCAAGGAGTAATTATAATGCAACCGCGGCGCTGGGGACACCGGCTGTCTCAACGAGGGACCAAAGAATGAAATATCATGGACGAGAAAACCAGAGAGTAAAAGGAACGAGCGTGGTTGGTGCGATGAGGCCGTCAGCTAGGGAAGAGAAAGCAGGAAGGAAAAGAGGAGGCCCTGCAGAGAGCAAGCCTCTGTCACACGGCATCACGGGGCTACTGCAGGCCTGAAAACCTCGCCGTCTGATTGCCTCGTAGTGGCCTCGGACTTAATCTTGCAGTGCACTATTGTCGATGATGCAGCCAGTCCGGCTGCCATTCGCTAGGGGTGAAACCGGCCAAGGAGGGGTAGCAAAGCAGGCCATGCAGTGGTCGATGCGTCTGAGATGATGATGTCCGCACTTTTCCATTTCTAATGGTAGCCAGTGCTGATCAGAGCATCCAGAGAAGCTGTGGGTTGTTCACCCCATCAGACTCGAGGTCTGAACGAACCAAGTCATCTCCCAATGCGAGGGTATAGAGTCTCACACGAATCAACTGAGTGTGACAGCATGGCTGTTGCACCAAACGAAAGACTTCCCTTGTCCAACGGTTTCGCAAGGGGCCGTTGGAGTGGAAAGAAGGGATGAATCAAGGGGCTGTACGAGGTTTTCGTGGAATGACCGATCGGGTAGCAAGAATGAGATCCATCACATAGGGCAATCCTAGCGGGACTGCAGCAACTTCTGATAGGCAGTTCTCCGCTGCCTTTCCTGCTGGGAAGAGTCGATCGAAACGCCCTGTTTTGTACTTAAGTTACCACCACCGTCATACAGCAGCCATGCGGAGACGCTGTCGGACCCTGAATATGATCGATATCATGGCATGAGACGAAATCAGTATCCCGAACTCAAGGATTTCCATATTGACCCATTCGCCCGTAACTCAAGTCCCAGAAGCTGTGACATCTCCACAATGTTGACCCAAAGTATGACACAAAGTAACTCAGGGTGACATCGAAAAGGCAGCAATTTGGTCGTTGATGTGTTCAATTTCCTGGCGTGTTCGTGACGGTGTCACCTTCAAGAGGCCTCGGGTTGATTTTCATATCAGGCCAAGCGTAGTTAGTTCTCTTGTTAATGTCAGCAGCGTTTAAAAAATGCTTGCTAGAGCTCACACGGAGGAGTAAGGAGATAGTTGTATTTGATACTGAATAAGCCCTTGCACGTGATGCTATGAAACTTCACTCCAATGATTGATTCGATGTTGCTATAGATTGACGGTCGCCGGTTGGCTTGACTAATCTACAAAACAGAGCGATCATGTGACATCACATTACTCGACTACTATCTACTTGTATTTATCCAGCCATTTACATATGTGAGGTAAATCATGCCTTTACTTGTCTTCACTGATACTTCCTAGCATGGACTGCTATGGCTGGTATTCATTCTTCAGTTCTTCAGTAAAATGTCCGCAACGATATACTCGGAAGTTGTTGATATCAATGAACTGATTCCTACCGACGCGGACGTCAAATACCGAAGTATATAGCTCTACCTGATGCTTTAATAATGTACTAACAACTGATTACAGATAGCAGCGATGTAGAAAGGCTAATTCCTTGGGTATTCAAACATCATGACATCGCTAAAGCAAACTGCACTCGCTTCTGGCCGAAAGAAGAGCCGGAGTTCAAGGACTTTTTCTACCACTTTTCCTGTTACCGTGCTTAATTGGACAAACTCGACCCAGTGCAAATTCCATTTTTTTTTTTTTGAAACCGGACGAGAAAGTCACACTACCGAGGCAGAACTGGGAAACACCCGGAAGAGCACCGCAGTTTCTCCAATCCCAGGGTATGATGTTGAAGGTTTTGATGCAGACTATGTATAATAATCTCGAAGACCTTGCAGAGAATCGCCCGGAACTTCAGTAAGCTCTTTTACCTGTGTTTGTATGTTTCGACTTGGTCCTAAGTGCCTTGAACTAGCTTTCCTGTATCCGGCCTTAAGAAAAGGTATGTGATTGGCGGTAAACGATATGCTTCGAGACCCGAGGGTGCAGTTGTAGTCAAGTCACAAGGACTGTCTGTACCGATAGTCTCTTATGTTGGTGTATGTATTGATCCCCTGACAGATTCTTCCCTTTTATCCCTTTTATATGTATATTTATCGCCTCTTGATGGCCACAATCCTATATGGGTCTTGTATTCATATATCACGTGGGCTGTTCATGACCACTCAGATGGCCAAGGTACATTCCAAAGGTTGTTCAGAGAACGAAGTGTTCCACTTGAAATTATCGAGAGGCTATAATTTATCCCTCAAGAAAGACTGGCTTGAAGCCATGCATGCCCTCTCAAGGCTACTTCGATGTCTCGTGAGTGGGAATACAAAGGTTGGTGCTGTCCGAACACATATGAATCCTAATACAGAGTAGAACTACCTTACTGTAGCAAACCCGTTGGGAGAATAAACCTCAAAAAAACTATGATGGCACATTATGCATGCCAACCCCGTACTGTATAATACACACACGCACAGCAGCGCCAAAGCGCAGGTCAAAATGATACATCACATCTCCAACCCGCCTCTACCCGTCGAACTTCAAACCCAGTCTAATAACCGGCTTCAGAGTTTTGCACGCAGACTTTCCCCATCTGCACTCCGCATTTCGCTTCAATTCCTGCAAGCAGCCCAATTCCTCTGCCTTGTAATTAATTCCCGGAAGCATATTCGAATCCATAGCGTTTTGGCTGCGCCGACCACGTCATATTCTCTGTGTGTGTCTGGTGGTTCTCCGCAATGACCTCAGGAGGGCGTTCAGGTGAGGCCCGACGGCGGGTATCATATGCGGAGCAGAGCTGCAGCTGGTATTGGTGTTGGTGTTGGTTCCTGGTGCAACAATGGATTGCTGGGCGGATTGGGAGTCGAACAGGATAGAAGATGGGAGATCTTTGCGAGGATGATGGTGTGATGGCGGTGTCATGTGGTTCGAATTCAGAGTTGTGTTTGCAAAGTCATCAGTGTTTGAATACGAGACCTTGTTTACAAGGCCACGCCGCTAGGCACTGCATGTAACGGTTGGCCAGTGCTATGACAATAGAAGAAATGAAGACAAAAATTCTATTTACCATAACGAATCTATGTACGATCGAACACTTTTCTTATGAAGGTCGCCCACCACCCTCGGTGTCTTGACGTGTGCAAAAAACACTCGGTGAGGGCTTATCTGATGGAGAGCAGTTGGATGCTTCTTTTACAGCCTTACCTGTGTAGAGGAAACGAGAGAGGCAGTTGGATGCTCATCTCTCTGACTGGCTAAGAATAATAAATCACAAGACCGCACCGCTACTTCCCCAAGGCGCCTGAGCCTGGCGGGGTCCGAAGCCGCCGGCGCGTCCTCTCTGGCCGAGAGAAAGGCCGGGGCATGCCCACGCGGTACATCAGGCAGTATAAAAGGCTGCAACTAATGCGCCAAATCTAATAGGTCTGGGGGTCAGTTTACCACGCGGTGATATCTTCCACTTCCGCTTCGCCGAAGGTACTGCTCTTGGTTAGCTTGTTGACTCCGTCCACAGCCTCGACTCCTTCGGCGGGTGCCTTGGACATGATGTCCGGCAGGACTTCGCGGAAGAACTCGAGGATGTAGCGGTTGACCTGTTCGAATTGGAGGAGGAAGGCATCGTGACCTTCGGGACTCTCGATCCGCTTCAGGCGGGAGTCCGGAATGCCGGCAGCGATCTCCTTCTGCTCATCAAAAGTGAACAGTCCATCGGATTCGATACCTAGAACCAGAGCGGGCTGCTCAATCTGAGACAGGGCTTCACGGACGGGGTTCTCCGCGGAAGGACTGGCCCGGTGTCGGGACACATCGTGCGTGTCCAACTTGCGGGTGATGGCGATGTAGCAGTTGGCATCGAAACGCTTCACGAACTTCTCGCCCTGGTACCGAAGGTACGACTGAGCAGAGAAGTAGGTGGGGAGCCGCTTCTGGGAACCGTTGGTCTCGATGGTCTTGCTGAAGGTTTTGGCACCGGAGAACTGAGGGTCTTGGAACTGAACTTCAGAGTGTTGGGCGTCGGACTGCGGCCCGGGCGAGCTGCGCCCACTCTTGTGTCCATCGTTGTGGATAGCCCAGTGCTCGTTCGGGGGGGTGGGCGACCTTTCCTGACCATTGATGGTCTGCCGCTTGGAGGGATCGGGCACGTTTCTGCCAAAGCGAGACTCAAAAGAGTTGCGGCTACGGTAGGTGAGAAGGGCGGACATGCGCGCCGCACCCAGACCGGTGGCCGGGGGATCGTCAAACGGGTAGTAGCCATCCTCATACTTGGGATCACTGTAGATGCTTTGCCGTTGGGCTTCACCCCAGCTGATACACCACGCCGAATGACGAGGAGAGGTGGCGATCGGAACGATTGCGCGAACATAGTCCTTGCCAAAGTAGGCGTACTCAAGAGTAAGCATACCACCCATGGAGCCACCCACCACGGCTGCAATTTGACGAATGCCCATGTCATCCAGAACCATCTTGTGAATCCTATGCGTTGTTAGCCCGCTGTTACACCATAAAGCATAAGAAGGAAAACTCACTTTACATCATCACGGACGGTGGTGAGAGGGAACTCAGGACCGTACAAGCCCTTGGACGGATCGCCATCCTTGTAGGTCACAGCGCTAGCACTTCCGTACGGACTACCCAGACTGTTCAAGCAGACGACGAAGAAGCGCGATGTATCGAAAGCTTGACCGGGACCACCAAGCAGGGGACCCCACCAGTCCGCGACATCCGCACTACCACTGAGAGCATGACAGATCACCAATGCATTGTCACGTTCGGGGGAGAGTTGACCTCTCGTCGTGTAGGCAACAGGAACGTTGTGCAAGGTAACACCAGACTCAAGGGTGAAGGAAGGGATGATGACGATCGATTGATCGGTGATGAGGGCCGAATAAGGGTTTTCGGGTTGGGAATCAGCCCTCTCTACGGGATTTAGTAGCTGTTCACTTTGGAAAGGCGGGGGAGGGGTAGAGGGGGGAAACTGACGGAATTGCCCGGGGGCGGCAGCTTGGGCGACCATACTGGATGGACGCGTGTGGTTAACGGACGTATGGATGCAGAACAAGTAGCAGGACGAAGTTTAAAAACTATGAGAGAGGGAGAGAAGCAAGATGAAGCAGTAGACACAAAAATGAACAGGAGGGAAAGTTAAAAGGAAAAAAAGGGCGGGAAACGCAAGATGATGGCGATCGCTGGTCCCCCGGGGAGTTTTCCGGCCTTGACTCATACGCCATCACGGGCCAATCACATGTCTTACATTCATCCTGAGGCAGGATTGAGTCTACGGATTTAGGTTCCACCGATGATCCGCCCCCGGTCCCGCTTTCCGGCATTTCTGTGTCTCTCCGATCCCGGGCTCTCCAAGCATCGTCATGTATACTGTACACCACCAATAAAATAAGTGGTCTATAACAACGGAGCAAGCACTTCAGCGAGTAAAACGAAGAGATGATGGCGTGGCTGTATCAGTATCCGCTTCTGTATCGTCTTAGCGAAAACGAAATGCACCGGTCCATGGAAAGCTTTATTCAGTCTAGGCCCCTTCCCTGGCTATCGGGCCGAGTATGTATATTGTGGGAAATATCAGAGAACCGTGACATTTGACATCACATTCCTCGGGTCTTTACTTATTTGAAATATTTGAACAATTACATTATTTCATTGATACGATGTTCAGGTTATCAAACCAGCAACGCTCTGACACCCCGCTCATAACGATATCCACACAAATTAATATTAGTCAAGTATATGATTCTGATTATGCCTCAGATAAAACATCATGGTTTCACGTCATCGCCAAAACATTCCACATCTATAACAGGCCTACTGGATCTTGCTTTTTGATAACTGGTGCGACGCTTAGCCTCGATTAATAGTATTAATACAAAACAACGCATTGACAATGTCTAAATTCCGCTAAAACAAGACAATCATTAATCACGAAGCCAACCCATAATCACCACACACCCACCTACAGCGAAACGACCAACTTCTTCGCCGAAACTCCCTTCTTCAAAACATCCAACGCCCCCTGCAGCGACTCCAATCCCTCACTCACCACCTCCACCTTAGGCGCACTAACAAAGCTCCCCTCCTTCAACGCGGCCGGCAAGAAATCCACAAAGATAGCAGGCCCAACCTCATTCTCCGCCAAATCACCACCAAAGACGAACTTCGACTCGACCCCATCCGCCAGCGGTCCAGACGGCGGACTCACCAACGCAACAAACTTCCTCCCTTCGACCCTCGCCACAATCTGACCACACTTTTCAGGTGACTCCGGCCCAATAGCCAATGCACCAGCACTAGACTTCCCCCTAAATGCAGCAATTATATCCTCGACTACCGTCTCCGACTTGTAGTCAAAGACGTGGCTCGCACCAAGAGATTTGACAAAGTCGTAGTTCCGCGGCGAAGCCGTCGTAACCACTTCATACCCCGCCGCCACGGCAAGTTGGATAGCGTTGCTGCCGACACTGGATGATCCGCTCCAGATGAGGACGGTTTGGCCTGTTGATGGGGCTCGGGGAGCGGTGGGATGCTGCAGCGCGAGGTAGTCTTTCTGGAAGAGACCACATGCGGCGGTTGATATTCCGAGGGGGATTCCGGCCGCGTCGGCGTAGGATAGATCGGATGGGATGGGGGAGGTCATGTTTGCGTGGAGCACAACGTATTTTTGGAAGGCACCTTTGGAGGAACGCGTGCTTTTCAATTCACCAGTTAGACCGAGGACTCGGTCTCCGGGCTTGAATCGGGAGGAAACAGGGCCTGGTCCGACTTCCACTACTTCGCCGGCGACGTCGCTGCCCATGATAGCGGGATAGGGTGTCCAGGCGAAGAGGGCGGAGCCAAGGTCTTGACGAGCATAGTCGACGAGGTTGAGCCCGATGCTGTGGTTCTTGATTACGAGTTCGTTCTCGCCGGGATGGGTGTATGGAGCGCTGTCGACTTCCAGAGGGTAGGCCTTTTCGGACTTGATCCAGGCGGCGGTATTGGTTGGGGTCATTATGGTGAGTCTATAGTTGACGGTGTAGAACTTTATAATGCCTCCAGTATATATTTGCAAGAGAATACTTGTGAAGATATAATTAACAGCCCGCTGTTCCTGGCCAGCGATCTATATACCACCCTCGCCAAGAACTCCAACGGCGTCTCGGATTAGGGCACGGTGATAACGCCGTAATATCCGAAGGCAAATCCTTCGGTGTTACACCCCGACGGGGTTTGCGACTCTTAAATCCTACGGCATTGCCGCCCGAACCTGACGGAAATCCGACCCTCTTTGCATCTCTCGTGTCATGATTTATGCTTAAGTCCGCTTGTCGCCATGGATCAGTCCCCCACCCAGTATGATCTCGCCCCGGCCCCGTACGGCCGCGCCTGCATGAACTGCTCGCAGTCTAAATGCAAATGCATCCTACCCAAAGGGGGCGGGCGATGCCAAAGGTCTGTCTTACAGTGCACTGAGATAGTCCGAGTCTGACGGTACTGGCAGGTGTCAGCGCCTGAATAAAGAATGTCGGCCATCGGCTTTCCATCGACGACAGAATGCGCGCAAGTCCTCGCTGTCCAAGACGGGACGGTTGGAGAAGAAGCTCGATGATTTGGTGACGCTGCTTCGCGCGCAGTCTTCTAACAATGCGGGGGACTATGCTGAGCTGATTGAGGAGCTGCGACGAGAGCCGGATGAAGGCCATCATCATCCACCACCTCCACGCTCCCAGAGGAAGGTTACTCGGACAGTCTCGACGGCGGAGAAATCCATCGACTGCGGGTTCCTTAATCACTTTGCCCAGGTTGGAGCTACCTCCTCCCGAGATGAGTCGAATAGTGGAGGACAGATGCCAAATGCGAGTACAGCAGAGCCGACCCGGTCTCAGGCTGAAGAGTATCTGAGCATGTTTGTCACTCAGAAGCTACCCTATCTGCCATTCGTGTATTTCCCACCAGGAACAACAGCACAGCATCTCCGTAGTGACCGGCCGTTCCTCTGGCTATGCATCATGGCAGTCACGTCGAAGAGCCCAAGTCAGCGACGTACACTCTGTGATAGAATCCGCGAGACTGTAGCTCAGCGCATGGTTCATGACTGCTACGGTCGCGATCTCGACTTTCTCTTAGGTCTCCTGGTATATATAGCCTGGTACAGTTACCCTTCCCCTTCATACTCGATGCCACTAACAGCCACAGGTCCAACCAGCAAATATTCAAGAAGCTCAACATGACCATCTACAGCCAATTCGCCACAGCCGTAGTCTTCGACCTCATGCTCAACCAAGCCCCCGGCGGAGACAAACCATCACTACTGAGTATACTCCAGACGCACCCAGACGAGGATCCCGCCCCACCGCCAGCGCGGACAATGGACGAGAGACGCGCGGTACTGGGCTGTTTCCTCTTAACCTCCAGGTGCACCATTTACTCCTATCCCAACTACTACTTAATATAATAAACCCACTGCTAACTCGCTCCCAGCATTTCCCTCTTCCTCGAGAAAAGTGACCCCCTCCGCTGGACCCCCCACATGGACGAATGTCTACACCATCTCCTCGCACACCCAGAATGCCTGAACGACGAGATCCTCGCCCAACAAGCGCGCTTCCAACTCATCAACGAGAGAATCAACACCACCACAACAACCACAACCACAGACCCCTACCACACCAACCTCCCATCCTTCATCTCACCACCCCTCTCAATCTACACCCACACCATAACCACCCACCTCCACCAAACCCAAAGCAAACTCACCCCCAATTCCCAACGCCACCGAATCCTCCACCTCCACCACTCCAACACTTACCTCGCAATCCACGAGTCCGCCCTCCTAAAACAGCCCCTTACCAACATCACATCAACTACCAACCAGCTCCACCACCTCGAATTTCTCCACGCCTGCCTCTCCGCAACATCCACCTGGCTCACCACCTTCCTCGCAATCCCACCAGCCGAATACGCAGGCTTTCCCTTCCCGATCTTCTCGCAGCTCGTGCGGCACCTAGCAGCCCTATACCGGCTCTCTACGCTGGATGATGACACGGCCTGGGATCGAGTGCATGTACGGCAAACGGTTGATTTGATGGAAGTGATGGATCGGTTGATTGGGAATTTGGGTCAGGCGGCTGCGTTGGCGAGACTTGAGGCGCAGGGTGAGGATGAGGATGAAGATGTGTTTTTTTATTCGATTGGGAAGTATGAGTCGGTTAGGTTGAAGTGGGGGGGTGTTTTTGGGAGGGATAGGGATGGGAATGGGGGTGTGGTGGAGGGGCAGGGGCAGGGGGTGCAAGATGGTAGTAGTGGTAATGGGCTGGGTCAGGGACATGGACATGGACAAGTGCAGGAGATGGGGGGTCTGGGGGTTGGGTATGATCATGATTGGTTGGGGGAGTTTTTGAATTCGATGGTGCATTGATGTATATTTTGTGGTGGGTGGGTTGGGTTCATGTGTATGCTTCTCTCGGATATTATGGGATGGTTAGTATATATCAGCCATGTCGACATCCCCTCAATGATACGTCAACGTAAACATCAAATATATATAAGCATCCTATGCAAAAATATCTCCCCCCTCCGGCCCATTCCTCGCCTTCTCCATTCTCTCCACACTTGTCTTAAACAACCGTGGCATTCCCGTCTCCTCGAACTTCTTCCCCTTCTGAATCATCTCCGCCAGTCCTTTCGCGGACAGCAGAATCACCGGCATTCCATGGCCATTAAACCCAGCACAGACATACTGGCCGGGTTTATTGGGAACTTCGCCGATATGCGGATGCGAGTCGGCCGAGTAGCCCATAACTGTCACCAGAGTCAGCACAAGTCATTCCCTCAACATAACATAGCAGATACAAAAGGACCAAAGGATGGGATACTCACCACCTGTCCAAATCTCCTTCACGTACGCCCCACTATCCTCCCACCCTCGAAACGTACGCTGCATGTACCCATCATAGTAATTCTTCGCCGACTCAATCAACGTCGTATCATCCACAATACCATACCATTCCTCCCGCTTATTCTTGAACGTCGCTTGCGCTCCACCCACGATAATACTTCCATCCGGTCTGGAAATCAGATAACTGCCCCCGCCGACAACGTCGGATCCGTACCCGATTGCATACGAGTAAGGGAGGAACGGTGCGGGTTTCTTGCCCTCTCCCTCGGGGACCGTGATATGGCAGCATATTCCCTTGCAGGGGATGATGTTTGCCGAATACTCGGGGAGTAATCCGGCGGTGTAGGCGTTCGTCGCGTAGACGATCTTCCCGGCGCGGAGATTGCCGCGGGGAGTGGAGATTGTGTGGATGTTGTCTTCTGTAGTGATGGATGTCACCGGGGTGTGGGTTTGGACGTTTAGTTGCGGGGATTTGATGATTTTGCTTAGTAGGCCCAGGATGAATTTGTAGGGCCAGAGTGTGCCTGATGTGTAGGAGATGCAGGCTTTGGCGTTGTGGGCGCCTGATATCTGTATTTCTGTCAATATCTCTCCCATTTCATCGAAAAGTGAGTGATAGATGATAAAGGATAGATACTCACCACCTCCGCATCCCTTTTCCCCGTATAATGCAAGTCCTCAGCCAACTTGACGCCCCTCGCCTGCAACATCTCATACGCGAGCTTGGCTTTCTCTGCCGACTCTTCATCCAGATACACATTCATGTTCCGGGTAATGTTCAAATCGCAATCGATGTTCTCCTCGCGGAGAAGATCTTTCAGCGCCTGGATATGCGCGTATTCGAATTCCGCGATCTCCAGACCCGCTTCTAGTCCGGAGCGCTCAATGTAGGTGGGAATGTGACCGTAAATGTCGGGGCGGAGATGGCCGCCTTCACTTTCAAGGTTAACATCGTGTATTTCATACTTAATGAATAGGGGCATACCATTTCGACCCGTCGCGCCCGAGCAAATCTGCCTCGCTTCGAGCAGCGTAATAGTCGTAGTCTTGTCACCCTGCTCAGCGAGCTGTTTGAGGAGATAGTAAGCTAGCGTGACGCCCGAGTAGCCGCCGCCAATGATGGCGATGTCGCTTTGCGGGGGCAGGTCGGGGGTGCTCCGGATGTCATCGAGCGGGTCGAGTTGGGTGCGCCAGAAGGGAGTGATGGGGTTGTTTGGGGGGAGCATGGTATTTGTTGTGGTGGAGCCCATGGTGATAGTATGTCTACAGTGAGTGGTATTTGAAGATTAAGTGTAAGTCTGAGAGGTGTTTACTACAACCCTGTTCAGTCGGCTCTCACCGCAATATATACATGAGTCGATCGCCCAACGCTTTAGCCGTTTATTCCGCCCCAACGTAGTAGATGGGGTCGATAGTAGGTGGATAACGGCCTAGCCCCCGATCTTATCTGCTTTATCTTCGGAGTTCGGCTTGGGATCCATTAGTTGGGGGACTATCGGCCGTTGTCGGAGATGTGTAGTCCAAAGAGGGTGGGCTCTATGTCAATAGTATGTGGTTCTATGAGGGTGATAGTCTTCTAGAAGACGGGATATAATCGGGAGAACTTCGTGAAGAATTACTGGAATGGTTTCTGGAAGAGCGGGCTGAGAACCATGTTCAATACGCCAGGCTGGCCACTAAGAAGCTCTCCCCTGTAAATGTCCGTTCAATGCTTATTGTTAGGCTCGCCTTATATCAGCCACCCACGTCTTATCAAGCGTCGCTCCGGATGAAACCTCATTATCATGAAGCGTCATCTCGGACGTGCACTCCGCTTATCTATTTTCTTGGCTGTTAATATGCAGGGTTAACGAGTGCGGGGGCTGTTGATAATCTGATAACTACATCTGGCCTGAGCTTGAGCTTTACGGAACTCTCCCATCGAAGTTCCATCTTATACTAGTATCATATTCGAGGTATGATGTAAATATATTCATAATTCCGGTACTACTTATTGAAACAATGTAACTTACCACTGGTAGTAGCTAGTATTTCGTGGGAGGTCCCGACGAGGAAGACAAATTGGGCCGCAAATAAACATAGTAGACTTGATACATCAATAACACCTGGCAGATACTTAAAGGACAATGTGTCACTCTTAGCTGTGCTGAATACAGAGAAGCATCTTCAGCTGGAGCTCCCAATCGGGTATTTTTCTCCAAGTGGAGCCTTACTCAGCCAGACCGGATTAGGCAAGTCACCATACCGGAAATAGCTACGCACCCAGTGACCACCGCCCTCATCCAGCCTAGCGCGCGACATCATCTCGATCGGTCGCAGCTCAAAGACTCACTTCTCATGCCCGACCACCGCAGGGGCATCGCATCGCAATTCAACACCTCCCAGCCATGCCCACGCGCGTTTGAACTTACCCGAACGAAATTTCTCATCGCCAATACACTCTACATGCTCGAGTCTACCACGCTGTGCGCTTTCCGCTACAATGACCGACTATTCGAAATGGAAGGTGACCGATCTTAAAGCCGAGCTGAAGCGGCGCGGCATCGCGCAGACCGGTCTCCGCGTGAAACAACAGATTATTGACCGATTGGTGGAGGAAGATGCCCGCGATGAAAAGGATGCTGTCACGAATGGAGAGCCGGCCGCCGAAGAGGATGTTGCGCCGCAGGAAGCGCAGCCCGTCGACGCGAAGCAGCCAGAACCAGAGCCAGAGCCAGCCGCGGATGCGCCAGCTCAACCCGAGGCTACTGAGACCGAAGTGAAAGATAAAAAGATTGAGGAGGCAGCACAGGAGCAGGAACAACCACAAGCACAAACAGAGGAACAGGGTGACGCGGTTCCTGAGTCGAAGCCTGAGCCGGTGACTGACGAAGCTCCCGCCGGAAGACCCGCTGAGCAAGAACAGCAACAAGAACAGCCAGAACAACCTGCCCAGGAATCACCGAAACCTGAGGAACCAGCTCAACCTGTCGATTCCACTACTGTCGACCAACCCGCCGATACTTCCGCCCCGCAAGACCAGACCGAGAATGACACCGCTGCAGCACCGGTAGAGCAGGCTCCTGGAGAAGCAGCACCGGAACAGTCTGAGGACGTGGAGCCAAAACCTGCTGAACCAGCTGGATCTGGTGAGACCGCTGCGCCGCCCGCTGCAGTCCCCTCGGAAATGAACACTGGCCTGTCAACACCCCTGCCGACAGAAGAAGTGTTGGAGGACCGGCGCAAGAGGAAACGTCGCAGTCAGAGTCCTGTGCCAACACCGGAAGCGCTCGCAAGTAAAAAGGCCAAAGCCCTAGACGAGACACCCCGAGTCGTATTGCCGGAAGACCAGGTTTCCGTGGACAAAGAACGTGAGGCACGAGAGGACGGAGCTCCCGGTCCGCAAGAAACCCCTGAAGAACGCGCGGGGCGCGAGACCGCGCCGGAGGAGGCCCCGCCTGTGCAAGATGAAACATCCAAGAAAGGCGCGCCCCTGAAACATGACGTTCGCTTCAAGGGGCTTTTTGCTGCCAAGGAGACGGAGCAGACTCGCCCCGTCTCCCCTCCACCGGCGGATGCGGTGATGGAAGATGCCGACGTCGAGCCTGCCGTGCATGCTGCTACAGCAGCTCTCTATGTCGGCGGATTGATGCGTCCTCTCCAGCCGGTCGCGCTCAAGAACCACCTGGTCAGTCTCGCGTCCCCTCCGGATGCCTCACCCAATCCGGATGTGGTCGTAGACTTTTACCTGGACCCCATCAAGACACATTGCTTTGCTAGTTTTACGTCGGTCTCGGCAGCGTCGCGAGTCCGCACCGCCCTCCACGGTACGGTATGGCCCAACGAACGCAACCGCAAGACTCTATTCGTGGACTTTATTCCGGAAGACAAGTTGTCACTGTGGATTGAGAAGGAAGAAGGTTCGCGACAGCGCGGTGGCCCTCCCGCGCGCTGGGAAGTTCGCTATGAGCCAACCGACGATGGCGTAGAAGCTGTTCTCGAAGAGGTTGATCCCAGAAGCGCTTCATCTCAACATACGCGTGCGCCTGACGCCTCAGGCTTTTCTCGTCCTCCGCCTACCGGGCCACGGGCTGATATGGGCGCTCCTCGACGTCCCAGTGGCTCAGTCACGGCAGATTCGAGTTCACGACCTGGTCAAGGATTCAAGCCGCTGGACGAACTCTTCATGTCTACTACTACTAAGCCCAAGCTCTACTACCTCCCAGTCCCTCGGGAAGTGGCCGACCGGCGTTTGGATCGGTTTGACGACCTGCTACGAAAGGGCGAGTTCCCCCGACGCGGAGGAGATGAGCGCCGTCGCATCACCTTCGAGGATGAAGATTTCTTCGTTGATAATGGACCCGACTTTGGTGGTGGGCGCAACCGACGAGGCCGGGGCCGCGGTGGTCGTGGACGCGGAGGTTTCGGAGATTCGTGGAGAGATGACCGACGTAGTCGGTATTGAAATGAACAGATATACCCCTGATGATATACTATGGAGCTGCCATGGTTTGGGATTAGGTGCTTTGTGTAATTGCAATTTCGTGTACAGTAGGCGAATGCCAAGTTGGCGCGGGGGACAAGAAAAATATGATCTACGGACAAGAAGTGAATTTATTTGAGCCAAGATGGCGAGGTGTATACTAGGTTGGGTAAGTGTCTCCGGGAGACGAATCAACGAATACCATCAGGATTTATTTTTATTTTTTACTTTATTTTTATTCGGGAGTCTCTGTTGGCGTGGATGTGTTTGAGGTGGATAACTTGGAACAAACATCAGAATCATGCAGTCAGAATGGCTCAATAATAAGTAAGTACTCACTTGCTTTTAAAATTGCGGTGGCGCAGCGACCCTCCGCCATTGCACTGCGCGGCAGATGCAGCGAAGGTGATTGATTGGCACAGGAACAGTGCTCCGTAGTAAGAAGTATCCATCGTAAGAACTGCATCTGACTTAAGAATAAATAAATGTGGCTGCCTTGCCGGTTCGGTCTCATGTTCATGCTCCTCTCTCCTACCAAGACTTTTACTCGGGTTTGACTCCACGATCTATTGTTTTGGATAACAAAGGACCAAGAAACCCAACCGGTCCTTCCACAGTTACACCTTATATGATTATTTGTTCCTAATTCCGACTTTCCAAGCCTGACGTGCAACGACGACGTACCTCCCGACGTGCTCCACATCATTAGCCCAACTGCACTAAATAGTCTCCGTCATTCCAACTCTCTCAATCCGCCGGTCGCTTGCAAATCCCGCCTTGGTTGTTCTTCCTGCCAGCGCATCCCGAAGCATCGCCAGGGCAATCGGTCCGTATTGAACTACTCAGGATCAACTTTCGCCAGTGACCCGACCGGCCTCCCGAGTAAACGAGGCACAACAACGTGACAAAAGCTTAAACTTGGGTGGCTCCCAGGGGTTCATGGGGGGCCAAGCCCGGCTGTGCGGATAAGATATCTTAAGAAAAGCGACGGGCTGGCGTCCATCACGACGATCCTCTTTCTTCTCCCTCTTCTCGCTTTCGCAACCCGTCTCTTTTCCTTCCTTTCCTTGCACCCCCTCAAAGGCTGTTCATCCTTGCAGTCTCCTCTCCTTTCCTGCAAGAATGGGCTGGCCAGTGTGCAATTCGACCGTGGAAGACGAAACCAGTAGGCCATCCCCCCTCTGCGCTTTGTTGAATGCGACTTGGGTGGTTATCGAATTGAACTGGGCTGACGCGGTTTTTGACAGTCACGGAGGTTGACCTCTGGGATGGCGGAATCACCTTCCATCAACTCTGCCTGATCGTGGGCGGGGCTTTCGGTCTCATGGCTATAGTTGTTTCTTTCTACCTGATTGCAATGCACGCTACACACTACAGCAAAAAGATAGAACAGCGACAGTATGATTCCCCTCATTCTCTATTCAGATACTGGCACTTAGTTTTTGCTTATGGCTAACGTCCCCCTCTTTTCACTAGTATCATTCGAATTCTGCTCATGGTCCCCGTTTACTCCGTCGTCGCATGGCTCGGTACCTACTTCTACAAGAACGATGTCTACTACGATTTGATCGGCAACTGTTACGAAGCGTTTGCGATTTCGGCTTTCTTCTCTCTTATGTGCGCTTACATCGCGCCCGACTTGCATAGCCAGAAAGAATATTTCCGTGGAGTCGAACCCAAACAGTGGGTCTGGCCGATCCCATGGCTTCAGAAGTGTACGGGTGGACAGAAGGGTATTTGGAGGGTACCGCGCAGTGGTTTGACATGGTTCAACGTGAGTGCGAGAGG